ACAGAGGCACTGGCCAAGTTCGCCAGTGGGAGCGCCAGCACTTGCCGACGCCCGTGCTCAGTGGTCAACTCCAAGAACCCGTGAGCACTGCTGGGGCCACTGCTGTGGAACACAATCAAATTTTCACCTTCCAGAAAAAACATAAATTAGATATGCCTGGGCCTAAAAGAATAACCAAAACAAATCCACAAATCAACTATGAACTGTTGAGGGAGTAACTCAATTTTAAAAGAAACCTGTTTCTTACTGGCCGTAGTCCCAGCCCGTTCCCCTCGTGCAAGGGAAAAACACTCTCTAACATCTGAGTGGCACTTTCCAGCACGGCTGAAGCCATGGCCAGGGGACCAACTGGTTGCTCAGTCCTGCCAGGGGCCAGGCATCGAGCTTATATCATCGCTGTGGATTGGATTCTACCCATTGCCACCCCATCAGTTCTGTGGTGAAGCCTTAACCCTCATGAAACTATATTTAGAGGTTATCACAGTTAAATGTGGCTACGAGGAAGGGGCCCTGCCCTGATAGGATCAGTATCCTTATAAGAAGAGATACCAGAGAGCTCTCTCCCCCGCTGAATGTATATAAAGAAGAAGTCATTGGAACACACAGCAGGACACCACCACCTTTACAAACCAAGGTGAGAGCTCTTACCAGAAACTGCCCGTGCTGGCACCTGGCCTTGGACTGGCAGCCTCCAGAACCATAAGAAAATAATTATCTATTGCTTGTGCCACCAAATTTAGGTAATTTTGTTGTGACAGCCCCAGCTGAGTAATACGGTCGTCATATTTTAATTTTCATAATCACTCTGCAGCAGATGTGATGGTTGTCAGGAGAGCTAAGGAAATGTTTATATGATACATTCATGACATTCCAAGGGCCACTAAAATGCTAGGGAATAAGAGCATGCATGCTCTTGGGAGGCGCAGAGAATGGTGGTTATGAGGGTGGAGTTGAATCAGAATCCCAGGTCTCTCTTCCTAGCTGTGTGACTGCGGGTGAGTTCCTTCACCCTGTAGTTCCCCCTTTTGCTTGTCTGTGAAACAGGAATAAAACCTAAACATCATAGGGTTGTGAGGGTTAAATGCGGGAACCCTGTGGACCACATTTGCCCAGTACTTGTTAGAAACAAGTATTCCTGACTCCCAACCTGGCCAGCGGAGCCAGAATCTCCAAGGAAGTATCCTCAGGACAGGAATCATCAATAAACAGCCAGATAATTCTTAAATTGGATGAGTTTTGCAAACTCAGATAGAATCCACGTAAAGCATTTGGCCTTGACCTAATCCCCCTTTACCGAGGTCAATCCCAAGTTTATCGCTGCCTGGTTTATAGTCAGTCTTCACTTAACGTTGTCAATAGGTTCTAAGAAACTGTAACTTTAAGTGAAATGGTGTAATAATGAAAACCACTTTTACTGTAGACTAATGGACATGCAGAAATATGTTTAAATCAATTAGGCTATGGTAAAATCGATTTAAGTCACAGTTTCTAAGAATCTGTTATGTGAGGTCGTAACTGTATTTGCAAATGCTACTACCATGGCCTTCTGGATAGTGTCACCCAGGATGATTAATTTGTAGACACGCTGTAATACAATTTTAGAAGATATGGCTCTATACCCATAAACAAAAATTAAACTGTACATGTAAGATGTGTGTGTAATGTACACATAAACACATTTATAAACACAGATGTGTGTTTATAAATTATACCTTAATAAAAAGATTTTAAAAAGAAATTTAAAAAATACAGAACTCCCATCTTTAGAAAATGCACTCAAAGACAAATGATGCTGCTACACAGGCTGTGGGCCCAAACGCTGACATATAAAGGACATAGTTTCACGTGTGACTGTATAGAACACACGGGAAGGAAGGTGTCCCTTGATGAACTTAACCTTGTGGCTATGGAAGCAGCCAGGGGCAGCCTCTGTAATGGAAGGATCCAGAGTTTTCCTTTGATTCCTACCACTATGGCAGAAGCCAGTGGCCTCAGCCCAGCCTCCGGCTGCAGAGAGAGGGCTTTCCCCATGCAGGCGGAATAGCTCTGGTCTTCAGCGGGGATGCGCCCTGCCCCATGCCATCTCACTGCTAGCCCAGCCTGAGGCTGCAGAAAGGCGTCCCTACGCAGCATGGTCGTTGGGAAAGGGTCTTTCTCTAGGCGATCCCCAGAGTCGTGCAAGGCAGCAGACCATGATCCACGTTTGTGCAAACCGGAGTGCGGACAGTGGTTTGCACTTCTGGCAGAAGCCAGAAGGTGAGTGAAAGCCCAGTTGCCCCAAAGGATATTCCCCCCCGGGCGGTGGAGACAACCAGGCGCATCTGACAGACCAGTGCTGTGAAAGAGGGAGGGGTGGAGGATCAGCCTGGGGTGAAGCCTCATCCTGGCCAAAGAAACACTGAGGTGGAAACTCTCTTTTCCAGGCTGCTGCTTGGGAGCAGGCAGCAGATTATCCACTAGCTCCTGGGGATGGAGTGAGAAAGAAGAGCCAGCCCTGTCCTAACCCCTCGACAGACCTGCCTCGCAGGCTACAGCTGGAGGTCAGGGTCATGATTGCGAGCCTCATTTTATCACTGCTCGTAAGGCAGGTCCTCGAATCTAGTAACATATTTTTCTCTTGCGGTGCAGTGGCCAGGCTGGGTCACTTGGGGAAGGGCAGTAGTTGAGAGACAAAGTATCACCTTTGTGTCTCTTTTATGTTTAGATGCGGGCAATGATTTTTTATGCTGCATCTGTTTTCCTAAATGCCCAGTGTGCACTGAGGGGGGGTGCCATCTTCTGTCCCCATCCCGGCTGCAGGTTTATGGTTCTGCAGGTTTATGGCTATCGTGTGCTCTGTTCATGATCCAGACCGGGCGCCCCTGGGGCATGTGGGCCTGTCACAGATATATTTGGTGCCGCACCCCCTCCAAAATCTCCTCAGTGTCATTTACTGTGTCTGGGCCCCCACCCCACGCTCTGGAAACTTTGCTTTGAAAGGTTCACATCCACAACTTTCTTCAGGGCTGCCCTGTGCCACTGGAGCCCTGCTTGTGCAGACCACCCGAGGAGCCTCGAGGGGGCATCTGCCCGGCAGCCTGGGCTTTAGACAGACGGCCATGGGACTGCATGGCCAGGCAGTTGGTCACTGGCCTGAATCTGGACAAAGTCTGAGTCAGTAAGTTACGCTCTGGGGCCAGTGCTGTCCGATAGGACTTTCTGTGGTGATGGGAAGGCTCTCACCTGTGCTGGCCAAAGTGGTAGCCAGGAGCCACCACTGCCGAGTGCTTGGAATGAGGCTGCTGCAGCAGACGGACAGAGGCTTTGAAATCCTGAGCGAATGAGCGCACGCCTGTGTGAAGGAGGGGGCAGCCTCCTCCACTGGTCAGGATGCTCCGAAACTGCGGAGGAAGCCCTGCCCCGGGGGAAGTTTCATTTTCAAGTTCTTGGCAGGGACCTAGAGACTCTTCCTTATTTAAGCCTCTGCTCCGAAAAGTCATTCCAAGAGACATGCGTCCAGGTTCCCTCCTTAGTAGCTGGAATACAGGGAGCATGACCTCATCCTTCTTTGGTTTCAGTGGTGAGCAAGTCTCAGACCCTGGACATCAGTGCATATGGACAGGTTCTGCAGCGTAGACCACAGAAGGTGGGGAGACCGGCCTGAGTTTGAATGGACCCTGAGAGAGAACGTGAACCTCTGGGCGGGCATGTGAGGGTGTCTGGATTCTGATTATTGAGGTTTTTGTTGTTAACACTTAATTGCTTTCCTGCCAGAGATTTTGAGGCTTAGGAAACTCAAAAGTTAAATTGCTGTTTAATAATATTTTCTTTATTTTATCAATTTCTAAGGGGTCGAGGCCTGCTTCCTAGCCCTCGATGGCTTCCATTATTTCCCTCTGGGGCCAGTTACTGCCGTTCTCTGGTCCTCTTGGCTGGTTCCCGTGTTCAACCATGAGTGGAAGTCCGAGACATTTCCAGGAGTGCCAGCTCCATTCATTCACCACCCCGCCCCCATTTCCACTGCGTCTTAACCTCCTGCTCTGCCACGGGCCTCACTCTCTTCCCTGCACCTGAGCCTCCACTGTAACCTATTTGGCACCTCAGTCCTTCCAGGACAGAGAACTCCTCTTGTTTCTGTCTTTTGCTCAGGACAGGCCCCCTAAAACCTCAGTCCACTATGCTTTCTCCGTAGCACCAACTTTTTCCAGAGTCTGTCTCACGTGCTTCAACAACTCATTCGACAGATATCTAAGAGCCCAGTACTGCCAGGCATTATCCCGGGGAACATCGTGTCAGCATTCCTAGCTTCTAGGTAAAGAAACGGTGGAGGAGTAATGAGAACTGTGCCCACTATTATAAAGCACATGCAGGAAGGGCCGGCAACAGAAGCCAGGTCTGGGAGTTCACTGCTACGTGAAGGCAGGACTCAGGTCTGATGTGCTCTGGGCTCAGGATACTGGCCTGCAGAGAAGGGCAGTAGCGTACGACGCATTGAGATAATATGTCACATGAGCAACCAGGGTGCACTGAAGGTCCTAAGGAGAGACCGATGCTGGCAGCCCCATCACACAGCTGAGGAAGGACTTGTTATACAGACTTGAGGGACATTCTCATGTGACATTCTTGGTGCTACCAAGTGAAGACATAATTCCTTCTGCCTGAACTCCAAGATTGTAAATACATGTGCCTCGTTCATCTCAAAGGGGAGGGGCCAGGGAGCCAGGAAGGTGACTGGGCTGGGACCAGCTCACCAAAGTCACTGTCCCTTCATGATGCATGAGCATGAGTGTGCACTTTGTACACATTGAGTACCCATGCGTGTGTACTTTGTCTCTGGGTTTGGCCCCTGTTTGGTCATAACTGACAATTAATCTGGGTAAAAATGGGCGGCTATGTTCCAGAGAAGCTCTCAGCTCCTGCTGCAACAGAAAGCAGTCGTGTAAGGTATTGCAATCATTGTCAGCAAAGAAGACAGTTTCCAACTGCAAGCATGCTATTCACAACCACAAGGCCATGGCTACCTGGTGGCGATGAGAGGGTACGCGTGAACGGGGTTGAACCAGGCTTCCTTCCGCCGAGGCATGCTGTCGTAGATTAAAAGGTCCTTCTCGGTCAGTACAACCAGGACCGGCTTCCACTGCCTCTCGCTCTCCCCGGGCACCTGGAACAGAAAGCAGAGAACTGGCAAACGACGGCCTGGGAAAAGAGTGACTGCACAGGGGAAGTTGGCTTCCCCCAAATCAGGACACCCAGCCCTGGGAACGTCTTTCAGTTCAGGTTGTAAAACTAAGGTGGAAAGAAACCACTCGTGGCCTCATGACTCTTGGTCCTTCGAAAACGTGTTTTCTCGAGACCCTGAGACGCACAGCCAGTGCAGCCGTGGCGCAGCCCTGCGACCAGACAGCTGCCACTGTTTTGCACCTGCCAGTCAGCCCTGAAATTTTATTTCATTGTGGGGTGCGGGCGCTTGGGAAACGAGGTGCTCCCAGCAGGTTCTGGTAAAGTGCATTCTTTCCCTTAAGAAAAGGTAGGGCTTGAACACCTTCGAATGAATATCCAAAGGCTCTGCAAGTAAGTGTGTTGTGGGGGCGAAGGTCTGTCTGAACAGGTGTGTGGTATCAGTCCTCCCCCCAACTCTTTCACTCTTAGATTGTTTCTGCAATTCGGGCACCATCTGGAACCTTCCTTGTTCTAGAATGTTGAGTCGTATTCATCGTAGATCATTCTTTACCTCAAGGGCCGAGTGACCTGGTGGGAGGGATATGAAAGGATTCAAACATCACTTGGATGATGGGACCAGAGGACCCTTAAAAGCCCTTCCAATCTTGGGATTCTGTGTAGCTCAGGTCTCACCTCTGATCAGTGTAGATACCCACAAGCCTCCTAAATGTCTTTTGTCTATGAAAATGTCCTGCTTCCAGTGTGAATGCTGGGATAAATGTTGACGCTTAGTTTGGAACAACTCCACGCTCTAGCCTTACAAGTCAAAGCGGGGACCAGGTTCCAGGAGTATCAGCACGCTAGAAGTGCAGAGTCTCGGGCCCATCCCAGGCCTAGTGAATCCGAATTTGCATTTTAACAAGACCTGCAGCTGATTCATATACTCATTAAAGATGAAGAAGCACTGCTGCAGACGAGGTTAAAATTGTCTTGGACAACGGCAACTAATTCAGTAGATACTCAACCCTCTCATAGCAAACCACTACCCAGATCTGTTCCAAATTAAACTGGATGGTAAGCTAAATAAATGACAAAGCATACTACTCCTTCTCGCTCTCTTGTATTGAGGTGGGAACAAGTGTATGTGGCTGTAGGAATGAGGATGCAAGCAGAGCCGCGCGGGAGGGTGTGAGCACTGAGCTTGGTGGGTTGTGCAGTTAAATGGGCTGCCTGGGTCTGAGTCCCTGCTCCGTTATTTATTGCCTGTGTAGCTTTGGGCAAGTTATTGTCCTCTGTGCTTCTCTTTCCTCACTGATAAGGAGAATGTCCCATACAACAGTGCTTAGGGGAGCTGACTCGAGCTGGAGCGCCCGGACCCGAAACGGCAGCTCCGTGGCGTACTATTGGAGGGATCCGAGGCAAGTCAGTGAGTCCCTGCATCTCACTGTCTGTACCTGTAAGATGGAGAGGTCAGAGGGTGGTTGTGAGGGTTCAGTTAAATTGTCTAAAATGCTTAGCACAGTGCAGAAGCAACACCATTTAGAGCCGGTCCAGTGGCACCCACCTCACAAGGCTGCAGTGGATGTGAAATGAGACCATGTGTGTAATGTGCTGATCATAGTACCCGGCAGATGGCAAGGTCCTCAGTGACGCTCAGGGTGGGCAAACTGTGGCGGACTCACAGATTTCCAAACTTGTCCAGAAAAGAGGTATTCTTTGGAAATGGCTACAATATGACAAAGTAACGATTTTCCTTTGGGAACAATGATAAGGCAAGCCCAGAATCTTTGTTGCTGACAATGGCAATTCATTCTCCTTGGGTCCTTTCCAAAGTCTCCCAAGAAGAATTTGTCACACAATGATCATGTTTATTATTTAATGCCCCTCCTTCAACAAGTTCGAATGAAACTTCCTTTTCTAGAAGGAAGAAATCCCCGGTGAAGCTATTTATACTAGAATGTGAATGGCTGCCTGGTCTATTTCTCCCTTTATGCATTTAATGAATACTTAAGCCTACTCTGTTTTCCAACAAAACAACAGCATCTTCAAGAGATCAAAATGAATTGTTAGAGAAGATAATATACTAGACCCTACGAGGTGAATAAGTTGTGGTCTCACGGCATAAAGTGTTTGGGAGGTTTGGAGTAAAATTTTTCCAGCCTCTACATTAAACCTAGTAAATTACTTTTCAAGCTCATTAAATAAGGCTGGGGAAGCTACAAAGGATCCTCCCAAACTGCCTATCTTCCTTACCTAGTCAGATCTGGTCCATTAACTTTGACTGGAACCAGTCATTTCAATGTGAACACAACGAAGCATCCTTCTTCAAAAACAATATTACGTTTGCAAAAGAAACCTTACCAGTAATTACCAATATGTGGTATAATGCAGACCTTTCTAATGGTGGAATCACAAACTCACCCACAGGTCAAGTGGAATAAATATAAATGAATAATTGCAAGCTCCTAAAATGTTTAGCAGTGTATTGAAGAACCTTGTATGGATGTGTTAACTCTGCTGTGAGAAGAGTCGGAGAGGGCGTGCCCACCATTGCTGCATGCAGAGCTTTCGTTTCCATGCTCTGTGCATGTGTGAAGGTCAAAGTCTGCCCGTGAGGACAACCGACCCTCTAAGGAGAAAAATTTCCTGCCGAAGAACAAGGTTTTCAAAACCGTTCTTTGGGCCACAAGAGTGTTATATCCCAAAGCCTTTTGAGAACATCTTTCTTCAGATTCAAATATTTGTGCTGCTGTTCATGAAAACTTCCCATACAAATCTAACTGTCCTGGCACCCAAAGACTCCCCAGTGTGAATGCATTAGTTCTGGGGATGTATCTGAATTTTATTAAAACATGACTCTGGAAACAGATGTGAAGTGACTTCCATCTCAACCCCTGCCTCTGGCCATCAGATGCTGCAGCAGTTTCTTAAGAACTGATCATGTTTCTAATGAAACGGGTGATGGGAAATAGACATTCAATTCTGAAATTATTCTGAAGCCTAACTGTGACCTGAATCCCATCCCCATAGTTACTTCCGTAGAGCATGAGAGAAGAAGTTTACAAAATGACAGGAAGAATTTGAGAATGGAAAGCAGTGACTGGTGAGAATGGAGGGAAGTAGATAGAAATGTATCGACATGTTGTATACCTTAAACTCCCACACTGTTACATGCCAGTTACGTCCCAGTTGAGAAGTAGGATTGAGGGAAGTCAAGTCATTGAGTCCTCCATTTGAGATAGGTCTCTTAAATTTCATCTAGTTCAGTGGCTTTCAAACTTTTGAAATTCACTGGACTCTCTTATCCGATGAAATCACAAGCCGTAGTACAAAATGTAAAACAACTGAAAGAAGGTCTTTATGGAGTTGCAGCCTGGTTGGGAGCCCAGACTTTCTGGCTTCATCCTAGCACCGCCCACGCCCCTGGGTAGGGCTCCCAGAACCACTAGAGGACAGTTTGAAGACTAGTGGCCTCAGCTCCCTGAAACACCTAGAATCTGCAGGTCACATTCAAAGAGATGGTTTTAGCAAGTTTTTGGTGGAAGGTATTTTTGCAAAAAAGAATGATACTGTTGCCTCTGGGGCAGAGTTGCAAGGATTAAGTGAATTAATACATAGAGAAGGCTTTGAAAAGTGTCTTGCACCAAGCCTTCAAAAATATGTTATCCTTGCTAGGATATCCATGTAAGAATAAGTTAATATCAGATTAAAGAGGTGGGCAAGAATTACTTGTTTTTGTGAGTCTAGAGTCCCCACCTACCAAAGGATGGGATAAGACAAAATGATTGCCGACAATGTCTCCAACTTCAAACTTGGATCATTTTTTTTTTTTCACATGTAAATTCCCTGCTACTGGGAGGGGACTGTTTTAGTTGCCAGGACCCTTGCTTTACACCTCTTCTGTGTCACAGGATCAAAACAGGGTGTGGGGCGGCTTTTCTGCCCTCCTGCCAACTCACACTTCCCAACGTACTTATTGTCTATTTTGTACTTGAGCACAGAGTGGCAGGAAGAGCTCTTTGTCTCTGAAGCCAAACAGCAATGTCTTCTAAATCCCACTGAGGGATCTGAATGGATTACAGTCACGTGCTGCATAATGATATTTCAGTCAGCGATGGACCACATATACAATGGTGGTCCCAAAAGATCATAATGGAGCTGAAAAACTCCTGTTGCCTAGTGACAGTATAACCATTGTGGCATCATAGCTCAACAATGTACAGTTGCCTACAGTATTCAGTACACGACCAAGTTGCCCAGGATTGTAGCCTGGGAACGATGGGCTGGACCGTGCAGCCTGGGAGTGCGGCGGGCTGCACCAGCTAGGTTTGCGGAAGCGCTCTGTGTGATGTTCCACAATGAAACTGCCGAACGCTGCCTTTTTCAGAACGCATCCCCACCAAGCCATGCATGACTACTGAGCGGCTACGAGCACCTGTTCGCTGATGTGTAACCTGCTAATAAGGGCTTCCCATGCCTATTTTAGGAGGATTAAATGAGACAATGTACATAAAGCACTTCCCAGAGGGCAGACACTGGCAATGCTATACAATCTCCATCACATGCCTCAGGTGCACTCTTTCCTGCTCGGGAAGGAAGGTCTAAGTATAAGGGGAGCAGAGTAAAAGTCGTTCACCAGGAAGAAGCTCAGTCACATCTTTTGTGTCAGACATGATGGATATCTTTTATTTTACATCTTTTCACCTGAGGTTTCTAGGTGTTTAGAACAAAAGTCAAGATAGCAGAGTAATGAAAATTAGCAGTTATCAACTTCCAAATGCTTTACACTCATTAGGTAATCCTGTGCCAATTCTCAGAGAGGCAGATAAAGGTGACCTTCACTTTACCAAAGAACAAAAGGAATTTACACCGTATACATAATAAGAGCCCAGATTTGGGGTTCATAATTGGAGTGCTCGTCGGAGTTAACCTACAAGTGTGCACGATGAGACTCCGGTGCATGGTCCCGGTGAAATCGCCTCGGCTGTCGGCAGGGCCCTG